AAAAGCTGATGGCGTTAAATTATCTTTCAAAGAAATTCAGATTTCTCATGACATACATAACATTGTAAATGTTGAAGTATCAATTCTAAAACGTATAAATGGTATAAATAAAGGCAGTGGAATTATTAAATTTTATGGTCTAGCTAAAGAAAGCGATGCATTATATTTAGTTACGGAATGGGCTGAATTTGGAAATTTAAAAGAATATTATAGTAAACATGGTTTAGGTTTTGATTTAAAGTTGAAGTTTGCACTCGATGTTGCGCGTGGATTAAATTTTTTAGCATCGGCACAGATCCTGCATCATGATATAAGATCGGAAACTATTTTAATCACTATCGATAAAAATGCGAAGATTGCATATTTTGGATTGAGTAGAGAGTTTACTGAAGCTACTAGAAATATTAGTTTTAATGTCCAAAGCGTTCGATATATGGCACCAGAGAAATTGCTTAGCTCAAAACATATATATGACATTAAATGCGAGGTTTATAGGTATTGTAAATAATAATATTTTTATATTTACAGTAATTATAATGATAAATATTCTTTAAAATTTTTTTGTTTTTAGTTTCGGTATGCTTCTATGGGAAATTGCAGAGCAAAAAATTCCATATGCGGATGAAATAGATATTTCAAAAATAATTATTAAGGTCACTAAAGAACAATATCGAGAAAAGTTTTCTCAAGGTGGAGTTCCTCAAGAATGGAAAGACTTAGTAAAAGGTTCTCATTGATCATAAATTTAATTTATATTATTATTATTATTATTATTATTATTATATTAACTTTAATTAATTAATATGTGTCTTAAAATAGCGATATGGCATCCGAATCCAAAATTTAGGCCTTCTTTTTCAGAAATATTTTCTATTATCCAAAAGTTAAGCGAACAAAAAACATTTAATTTATCAGACACAACTGTCAACTCAACTGATGAATTTAATAACCAAGAATCTGAAATTCCCTTCAATTTTGATGAACTTGGTGACATGACTATTGAAGAAGCAATCGATGAATTTAATAAAAAGGATGGTAATAAATTAAATGCCTGGAAATGTTTTAATGCATATGCAAATATAGACCCTGATGCAAAATACTGGAAGGCCTATTTCCTTCATCATAATATCCTAGACTGGCCAAAATCAGAAAGAGAAATACGTGAGAAAGAGGCTACGCAATTATTTAAAGAAGTAGCAGATGAAGGAGAAGCAGATGCACAGTTGATGTATGGTGATTGCATGTTTAACGGCGTGGGCACAAATAAAGATACGATTAAAGCTTTAGAATATTACAGAAAGGCAGCTGATAATAAAAATTCGATTGCAATGTATAAAGTGGGAAACATTTACTATCATGGAGATGGAGTTAATAAAGATTTGGTAGAGGGTAAAAAATTTTTAAGGTTAGCTGCTTATAATCAACATCAGCAGGCCATGGAAATGTGTGTAAAATACAACATCTTTAATTTATAGACTTAATTTTTCTATCAATTCGAAATAATAATATACTGCATGTAATTTGAAATAAAGTCTAAACTTGTATTACTTGCAGATATCTGAATTTTTCTGAATTTTTTTTTTTCACAAAATCCCTTTCATTTAACATATATTTAATATGATAAACTACATAAAATATCCTATTAGAGATTAGACCCGTCTGAAAATTGAGTTCCGGGTTACCCACCCGTATAAAAAATCACTACCTGGGTCACAAACCGGGTAGTTAAAGTAAGGCGGGTGACCCGGTTTTATTTCGCAGGTATTAAGATTATTATTTTAAAATATTATACGCATGTATCGTTATTCATTTTTCTACAGTATTTTTGCTACACTCGCAAATTCCTTATAGTTTCGACCATACTACTTTTCACGACACTATGATTTGGCTATTAACGTTACTAGACTAAAACATTTCACTAAGGCCATACCAAGCCGATTATTTGTTTAACATAACATAGGTTAGCTAATATAGGAGAGGGGATAATAATAATTAAAAAAAAAAAAAAAATTATATTAAAATTACAAGATTTATGTATATTATTTGGTCAAATTTTGAAAAAGTAGGGGTTATGTTAAACGAATAATCTGCTTGGTCCAGCCTAAGTTAGGTTTAATTTAAGTTAGAGACTTACCAAAATTTCGCAAGAAAAAACTTTTTAAAATGCGCAGAAAGCTTCATCAAAAGAGTTGTGCCAAAGCATGTATTTTACTATTTTATAAAAGAACCTCAGCTAATAATTTTTCTCTATTAATACTAACTATTGCAACTAAATCTAATGTGATTTTTTTATGATGTTGCGTACTCATCTTCACTATCATTTTATTCACTGTACTCTCCTGACTTCAATTAATCAAATCTATGCCAGGTATCATAAGAAAAAATAGTAGTACAGATTTTTTATCGCTGTAATTATGAATACAACTAGAAGGTTCAAATTGTTTTAAATTGCTATCAATAATGATGGCAATGATAACAATGTTATGTAATGCTACTATATACAAAATCGTTAATTTATATCTAATTTGTGAATTTTTTAAATATCGTAGTGGTATTTCAGGTATTTCAAAATTGAATTGGTTAAAAATTTTGATTGAGGAGTTTGAAACTATTAAACGAAAATGGAACATTTTTTCGAGTTTGGGTTACCTCCCCAAATCAAATAGAAATCCTAAATCCAAATTATGTGGTAATATCAAAATTTAAAAAAAAAAAAAAAAG